AGGGAATATATATTCCACTTTTTCTCAACAGGAAGGTCAGTTCAAATAATCAAATTCACCATTACTAGGGTAGAATTTCATCCCACTGAAAAGTATTATTTTTTTCTCTCTTCTTTTTTTAAAGAATCATGGACTCACTTATTGTAGCAATTGTGAGACATTGGAAACAGTGGGTACATTCCAATAACAGTTTAAAAAAAACATCAAGTGAAAGAAAAGCAAATCATATAAATAATTTCTGCAGCCTGACATTTGTATAAACAAAAAACAATTCTGTGAGTATATGTATACAAATATATAAAATCAGTAAACTTTGGTGGTGGGGAGCAGATCTGGATTAGGCGTGGTATGATAGAAGGGGATTTTAACCATCTGTATTACTATGGTTTCTAATAAAAATATAGTCATGTATTACTTATTTTCAAAAATGTTTTTCATATGTAAGGAAAAGAGAGGAAACACTATGGCAAATGTTAATGGCTAATTTTGGGTGGTGAGATTGTGGGTAGTCTTCTTCTTCCACAGCTTTATTGAAGTATAACTGATGACTGCTAAAAATTTTTGATCCTTTTTTGTTTTATTATGGAATACGGATGCAGGATTCTCTTTTCTATTAAAACATTTATTTTGAATTTTCCTGGACCAGCCGAACAGGTGAGGTGTAGGGGTTTGGATTAGCTCAACAGTGTCCTCTTTCGTTGCTATAGTGAAGTGCAGTTTTTAAAATAAATGGCCTCTTTTTATTGATATTGATGCCATTTAATATTATCTTGTTTCACTGGGACCCATAGTTTCAGCTGGTCCCTTGCTTCATTTCACCACCACGTCTCCAAGAAATACTTCTCCCTTTCAAAATGCCCCCTTCTCTTCCAGAAGTGCCTTTCCAAAGCTGCCATGTCCTATGCACTTTCCAAGCCCCTTCCTTTCACTTCACCAGTAGCCAGTGCTCTGACCCACCAGGCCTCAGACCAGTTCTCAGCATTTCCCCACTCAGGGTAACCCTTCTCCTTCTGTGGGAACCTTAGTTGATATTATCTGTGTCTATCACCACTAGAATCCTGCACGCTCTCCTCTCTTATGCTCAACCCTTGCCTTGCTTCCCCTTTGGTGTGGACTTTTGACTGTTGTTTATTTCCCCCACTTACACATAAAGTGAAGTTTGTAGAATTTTCTGTCTCCTTGTCATATTGTAGGAGTGGGTCATTTCTTGTCTTGTTAGAACCCAGAATGATAATAATACACCCGTAAATATATACAATTTTTATTTGTCAATTAAAAATTTAAAACAACATATTTTTTACTTTTAGATAGGATTGGTTGTTTCAGCTATTCTTTTGCTATTGATTTCTAATTTAATTGCATTTTGCTAAGAGAAACATAGTCTGTAAGACTTTGAGTCTTTGGAAATTGAAACTTCTTTTGTGGCTAAGTAAATAGTTGATTTTTCTTTGAATGTTCCATGTGCATCCTGTATATGTTTGAGTTTAGTAATCATGTTAAGCAAATCTTCTAGACTTTTTCTAATTTTTTTGATCTATCACTCTCTGAAAGTTAAAACCTACTACTAAAATTCATGTAGCCACAATATTTTCCCATAGTTCTGTCAGTTGTTGTTTCATGTATTTTAAGGCTAAGTTGTTTGTTGTATATATGTTTAAGTTCATATATCTTTGACCTGTTGTTCCCTTTAATAGCATAAAACGTCCTTCTTTCTCTTTTGTTTTCTACTTTGAACTCTGTTTTGTCTGATGTTGAAACTCTTACCCTGCCTTAATGTTTACATACTCAGTATGTCTATCTTTTGTTTTGCAGCTTCTGTCTTTCCTCTCTTCATTAGAAGTCTTCCCAACCTCTAAGTTGTATATACAGTCTTTTAAGTTTTCTTCTGAAATTTCTTAATTTTCCCTGTTGTTAATTATGACATATGTAACTACGACAAAACACATTTGCACTAAATAAAGCTTGATTTTAATGACATTTCCTTAAATTTTTAAAAAACTTCCTTATGCTTCAGCTCCTTACCAGTGATTCCTGAGAGCTTTCTGAGTTCCAGCCTCCCTGACTTCACTGTAAAAAGGTACAAGAAGCAAAGAAACAAAAATTAGCTTGCTGTTTCCTCAGTTTCATAATGGCTGTCTAAGAATGCCCCTGTCATGTTAAATTAAGACAAGTCTTAACACAAAGGAATGTTTTGGGAAGGCCACTGGAGCTCTCACAGATGCTGGTATCTAAAGACGTGGTTGTAGCATCAAGAAAAGAAACAGTAGAGAGGAAGGAAAAAAATGCGCTTTGATTAACTAAAAGTAAGAGAACAGACAGGTGGGAGGAGATGTTCAGCTGAATAAAGGGGACAGAGATGTAAAAATCAAGATGCTAAATTTTATTAAAAACAAAAACAAATGGCGTTCAGTGAAGAGAGTGGTGATACTGTAACAGGGATGAGAAGGGTGACTCTCAACAGCATAAGAAGGAACAAAAATCATCATTCTAAAGGCATCTACCTCAGAGAAGAGGTCATGATTATGGCAGTCAAGATTACCAGATTTCACTTCAGAAAGTCTGAAGGATAAACATGGCTTAATATATTAGTGGATGTCACGTGAAAAATGAAATGGCACAAGTGAAAGGTATAACAAAAGCAGGAACATGCGCCCAGTTTTTCAGGAGTTCAGACTGTAAGGTACAGTCCACTGGTGGCATTTTGAAATAGAGGTGAAAATTCTATCTTGCAAGATTAAAGAGATTAGGACAAAGAGATGTTTTCTAATTTCATATTTATAGTTTTTAACAAACGTGTTTCTATTGCTTTGATTTTTTTTTTGGCTTTCTCGTTGATCTGGAGGTTGTTTTTGTTCTGAACAAAGGGGATGTAAAGCCATCTATGGTCCCATTCATGGATTTAATTAGCCATGTTGCCCCGTCTATAATAAATCACAAGTTTAGTTTTTCTTTGTTAAGGCAGTCAGAGGCCTTTAGGCATGAGTGATTTATTAAGATGTACTCTCATCATTGGGGATGAATTATCATCCTGATATTGTCAATTACTCAACAACTTCATATCCCCAAAGCATCCCTTGGATGTTCTATGCGACACAAAGATGGCATTTTACTCTCATACTTGTTCTCAGACATGATTCACATTTTGCTATCTAGTGCATAAGGAAATCATTCTAAATTCAGCAATAGTGCCAGTTTGACTAAAAAAAGTTATTTTCCATATCCACAAAAATGTTAATAAGATTCTTGTTAGAACATGTGTAAGAGCTGGTTTTTGTTGTCACAGCTCTTGATGTCAGATTACTAAAATAATTTATGTTTTGTTGTGGGAACGTGGGTGCACGCAGAACCTCCCAAATCACGTGGCCACTTCTCAGCCCACGCTTCTTCATAACACAGAGAAATTATTTGTGTTTTGTGGTAATGAATGAATGGCAGGAACAGCAGAATTTCAATGTGGCCTTTCTTTATTTGAATAAACATACTCTCTATTTATTCTTAAAAAAACTAATTTAAGTTAAATGGCAATAAACCATGATAATTTAGAAAACATGTTGAAACTGAGAGTGAAATGTTCTCTATGTAAACCACACTGTAAACCATAAAACTTATTTTTGTCAACTGCTTCTCATGACAGTGGCTCGGAATTTGACATTTCTACTACAGTAGGCAAAAAAACATGTAAAATACACTCTCACACATACCACACCACATCTCTATTTATACTTCCAAACTAAAAGCATTACAGCCCCCAAAAGTGCTGAGTATACCATGTACAGTTACACTAAGGGCTGTAAGTCCACACGGCATCACCTTAAACTGCTGTGTATGTGTGGCAAAGACACTGGTGGAAGACCTTGCCCCCAAGCCATAATTTAATGGATCAAGCTTGGCTCGCTGAGAGAAAACCATTGCTCTTTAATCCAAAAGGTAGTGAACTTTTCAGTGTACTCAGGTTAACGAAAGACAAAACAAAAAAATACCGTTGGACAGATTATGAAACCCAGTTAAAGTATCCATATGACAGCACTCAATACTACTTATCCACTTCAAAATGTGCCAGCAGCAATTCTGTATGAAAATGAGTGTTGTGAAAATCTGCAACAGTTTGAAGCTGAGTATTTTAAAACTAGAAAAGGAATCTTTAACATATATTACAGTAAACATGAACGTGACAGAAATATGGTTAATTCTCTAATCTTATCGGAGGGTATACATTCTGTACAGTTGACTAGGTCCTTGAAGTTTTCTAATAAAAATTTCCCCTCTCCACTTAAAGATCCTAAGAAGTCAGCTCAATCTGGTTCTTCTCCTTGCAAAATGGGTATTTAGTTTGGGATGTAACGTTTTAAAACAATAATACAAACCTCCTGGGAGAATACCACAATAAATGTCTCAAAAGCCACTCAGTTAATCCAAGGGTATAATCTGGCTGTTTTAAATTACTGCAGGGGAATATTATGGGTCTAATGACACTGTAACTGCACAAAGCCAAAGAAAGCTAGAAAGAGAGGCCAAAAAGATGAGCTCAGAGCCAGCTGAAGTGACAACAAACATGTGGTTGTTTACTAGGATTGGAGAGGTTTAGTCTGCAGATGTTTGTGGTCTCTAGAAGGTTCCAGAGGAATGAGATGTTATGAAGATTTGTAGAGTTTGATGAGAGCAAGATTCTTCTTGGAGAAGGCAGGCCCCAGGACAGGGAGGCCCAATGGTATAGACAGAATTTATAGATGTCCTGTGGTCAGACCATATTCTACTGGTCCCACAATGTACATCAACAAATTAATATTGTATGGATGTCATTTCAAAGCCTCCTAAAGATGAGAGTCATTATTGAAGCCATTAGAGCACAGATGGTTCAAACTATATGCAGATATTCATACTTGCATTTTTGCATTATAGCTGCTTTTTTTTTCTGTTCAACTGTAATGAATTGTCTCATAATCTATTCCATCTTCTTGCCATTAGCAGGCTTTGAATGTTCACAAATAGGAGCAAAGAACTCATTTTCCAGAGCTTTAATCACACAAAGAGGGAATGCCTAATTCTCTAAATGAAATGGTCTGTGATCACTGAAGCAGAGATTTAATATATCACGGCAAATTAGGTAGATTTTAATAAATTACTTATCTTCCTGAATACTTTACATATGCTTAAGAAGGAACATAGCCTGTTTGCAAACAGTGAAAACCCACAGCCTATAAAAATCCTTTGAAGAAAACGACAAATAAAAAAGTAAATTAAAAAATGAAATGCATTATATCCTAGACCTCTAGAGACAATTCCTTTGCAGCATTGATTCACAGCTCCATTAAAAATATCAATTAAATCCTTCAGTGAGATTGGGTAAAAGCTAGAAAATTAACTTTCTGAGCTGCTTTTCGAGGATCTGGTTATCCAGATACACCCCAGCATTGTACTGGCTTGATGTAAATTTTTAAAAAATGATAAAAAGATACTCCTTTCATGTCTAAGTATAGTAGAATTTGAGTCATACTTTCAGTAATTTCTTTCTGTGTCATAAGCTAAGTTTTCAAGGTATAAATTTCACATCTATCAATCTATTTATGTCTATCTCCTCTTTACACACATACCACTGGATGCCATATACCATACAAATACATAAAAATAACACAAATAGGAAGAACTGTAATTTTTAAGAAAAACAAAAACTTGCAGTAATTTAATAAGTTGGTGCTAAGTCTCATTCTTTATATTTAATTGATAGAAACTGCATGCATCAAAGAAAATGCATACTGAGCTTTAATGTGCATAAAATGGATATTAGCATTTTAAAGAGGAAGATTAACACATTAATCCAAGTAATTTTCATATATTGCTTCTAATAAAATCTTCACAGTATAAAACTCCTAATGAGGCTAATCACAGGCATTCCATTTAGTGGGATGATTAGGGATAACATAAAAGTATTTCTTTTTCATAGGTTTTCTAAGATTTATGCTTTTGCTTATTAAAAATAAAAATGGGAATTGCATTTCAGTTCTTCATGAGAAAATGCTGAAAATGCAAATAGATTTTCTCATACTATCATCTAGGTATAAATTATTGAGAAGGTGCTGCCCATTATGGAGAACTTAAGTCCTGAGGGGTGGCAGTCAAGGGAAGGAGGGAATAGAAAAATAAACAAATGAAAAAGTATACAAAACTTAAACACTTCAAACCCAGGTCTCCCTCCTCCCAGCCTCCCATGAATTATAGATTATATACACCAGAGTAATTATAAAAATCTCATCTAGGAGCTTTCATGTGAGCATTTACTCAAGAGTATGAAATGCCTCTGGAGCAGTTTCTTTCAAGCCTCCAAGTCATCTCTGTATTGCTCATAGACAGACTGCAGGGCATGGAGAGCTTCAACTGTTACCCTGAGTTGTCCAATAGCTTCACCATCTGCTCGTGCGTCAAAAACTAGGGAGAAAATAGCAGGAAAGTGTTAATATCATTCAACAGATTTTTCTTCAGATAGACTAGCTGAAACAGTAACTGAAAAGATGAAAACAGTTCTACAAAAGTCCAAAGTTCACTGGCATGTCAGAAACCTAAAAAATAAACCTTGTCATGTGTGCATGAGAATGCACATTTTAGATGTACTGCTTGTACATATACATATTGCTTGTGGAGCTAAAACTAATGATCTGATCCTGAAGTTCACCTAGTGAAAAGGCCTTGGGATAATGATAACATATAATCAAATAATACACAATCAGAATTTCTAGGCTAGTAAGAAATAAAAAGTCTAAAAGGGATTTATGACAACGAAGTAGAATATGTTCTAACACATAATGTTAAGAAATTTCAGGAGGGCAAACCACTGTAAAGATGTTATATGATCATAATTTGAATTGGTTATTTATCTAAGGAAAACATTCCATTTAAAATAGATTTTATGTGAAATTAGAAAAAGTTCAACTGGCAGATCCAGGAATCTTAAGGTCTGTGGATTGGCTTTGAGGATCCATGAAATTTTTCAGTGTATGTGAGCTTTACTTGGAAGAGGGGCCACTACTTTCAGTGGTGTCCCATAGGTAGACTATTTGGCTGAAGCCTTGGGCTCTCTCCGAGCTCAGTGCTGGGGGCCAGATGGGACGCTGATTCAATACCTGAGACCGCATCCGTCTGTGGACAATGATTGCTAGTTACTCAAGGCCGAATGCCGAACTTTGTAAATTTGACAGCACTTACGAGTCTTGGTAGTTTCCTGTTTATTATTCCTTGTGGTTTTCCTTGAACTTTAATATTTGTGCCTGTTTTTTTAATTCCAAGAAAATGTGTAAGAAAGCCTTTAAACAAAACTTAGTATACAAAGACTTAGGTGGAAAAATGAGCAGCAGGGAAATCGTAGTGGCACAGTGGTCCCCAGCCTTTTCCCCTGAGTTTTCACCTCTGCTTTGTAACTTCTAACTTCTATGCCTGACACAGAACAAAGCATTAAAATCCTGACCTGACCTGTGCCTAATCTTTTGACTCTTTTCCAAAACATGGTCACAATAGCTGACCATATCAGATCAGTGTGGTCAGAAAAAGAAGATGGGTTGATAACAGAATTAACTGGAAAAGAGGAAGAATATAATGCAGAGATAATTTTGGTCATTTTTGTCTGATTCTCTTGGTCCTGGGAGTCTTTAATAGGGTTTAGGTTAATACGTTAATCTGCTCATCTTTTTCTTCTGTGCCAAAGTTGTGACCAATTTCCACGTGGTTAGAGATATATAGCTTATAAAGATTTCCCAGAGCAGGCTTCTAATTTGGCTATTTGGTCTAATTTTGTGAATTATTTGGCTTGGTCCTGACTTTTGAGCATATGACACATACTCTGGACAAGCAGCTTGACGTATGAACCACAGCTGAGCTACAGCACAAGCAGAACGCCTGCCACTTAAGAGGTGCTTAGTTAAATGTTTACTGAATACATGAATAAGTAAACAAACCATGTACATTTTTCCAGAGATGGCTCTGCTGACATAATGAATGAACTAGGAATCAGTCTCATTTCTCCGTTTATTATATATAGCCCAGCCCAGGATTCTTAAAAAAGTCTGATAAAATACGATTCCTTCAGTATGTTCTAAATATGTGATAGAAGAGTGGAGGGTAGAAATTAAGCATTGTTGGGAATCATGCTTGGTTAGGTGGAAATCCAGGAGAACATATTTCATCAGGAATCCCCTTATTTCTCTTGCAATCCTGGTGGGAAACGAGTGACCGAAACTACTCAGAGTTACTCGTAGTGATGGTATCACTGGACTGTAACACTGAATTAAAGACAGCCCTTGAGATAGACACTACCATCATCACTCAATAACATACTTAAGATTAACTGTCTTAGCTGAAACGAGGCTTCCATATACATTAAAAAAAAAAAAAAAAACCAATGGCCAAATTTTTCACAACCCTATCCAATACTAAAAAGTAAATACTTTTGTGAAGCTCAATTAATTATTTTAAAGTTTCTGTTGACTCAAAGAAAGGCAGAGGGGAAGGCCAGGGGAGGGATGTAGGGAGAGGCTTTCAGCTTCAACAAGGAGTTGGCTTGCATTGCAAAGGATTCAACTAATGTGCGACTCAAGGCTCTTGCAGCCAGCTAAGATGTTTTAATAAAGAGTTTGGATTTCAACAATTGTTGGTTGTACAAACTGAGCAATACTTCCACCCGTACCATCAATATTTTGCTCCACAATGTCTCTTCCTTCCTGAAACATGTCAGCGAGGTCGACGTGAGCAATGCCGACGTCCTCACACTCCAGATCCTGCTCATCCTCTGGAGGGTCACTGACCACAGTGAAGCGAACACTGAGAAGGCAAAAACAAAAACAAAAACAAAAGCAAAAAGAACCCCCCAAAACTCAGAAAAAATCACCATCAAATGAGAAGAAATCACCACAAAACTCTCAAATAGGCTTTTATCACTAAGGATAAATTTTTTGTTTGTTTGTTTTTGGTGGCTGGCTGGTATGGGGATCCAAATCCTTGACTTTGATGTAATAAACACTGCACTGTAACCAAGTGAGCTAACCAGCCAGCCCATAAGTATGAAATGCTGAAGTTTCCAATTATCCCAATAAGAAGAAAGTTACGTTAGGTTAGATAAGATATTATATGAATTATTAGAATTGTTATAGCACACCCAACCTTCAAATTAACATCAATCCACTTTTCTAAGCACTGATTATCATTTATCTCTAGAATCTGAGAAAATTACTAGGCAAAGAGAAGGACAAGTTGTTCACTCTATTATACACTATCTGATCATATTATGACACCTCTACTTTTAAGGCTAAAAAGATGAAGTGAATAAAGACCACGGAGGTTATATGGTCAGCATTTTCTATAGAAATGCAACAATTTCCATAGAAATGCGCAACTCTGGAGTTGCTACTAAGCAATTTAACTAACTGTATGCATTCTACAAAATGCAGCGATCATGCTCCCTGGGTAACATTCTGAATCATGTCAAATAAATGTCATTGCTCTGCCCAAAGGCTATATCAAATGTTTGTATTACAGCAATCTTTTAACTTACAATCATAGCATCCAAGTTTTATTTTACTTTTAGACGTATAATTGTAAGGTGGAACTGATTTGAATTAGTGGCTTGTGCTGAGGCCAAACACACTTGGATTGACCAAATGACAGGAATTTACCGTTAAGTACTCTTTTGATATGTTTTGGCAGCATAGCTTGAACCATGCATGCTTGTAAACTTTACCACTTAAAATTTTTCAAAACATATCCATCCCAAATCAGAAACAAAACAAGAAACATAAATATCTAAGTCTTTGAGAAATCATGCCTTGAAAAATACAAAGAAAATCCTTTCCAAACACTTATAGATAAACATGACAATGTTCTTAACTAATTTGCTGAAAATAAGTATTCCTCATTTCACTCCTTTACTGAGTCTCTGTTTTTAGCTAGCAGTACATTTTGATTAGAAAATAGAAATCTTTTAAGTAAAAATCAAAGTTAACACCTATTCACACAATAATTATGAGGAGTGCAGATCCTGGTGTTCACGTGAGTAAGATGGATATTTTATAAGATGTATAAGATAGAGGAATTAAAATGGATTGTTGGGGGGCATCCGTTCTGGGTTCAAATTTCTGCTTTCCTACTTATTAACTGTGTGACCTTGGACAAACTACTTAACTTCTCTGATTTCAGTTTCCTTATCTAATGGAATGGGGCTAATTATACCAATCTCACAGGGCTCTTGTTAGGATCAAATAAGATGATACAAGTAAACAGTGCCTGAAACACAGCAAACACTGAGTAAATGTTTGCTCTTTTATTATTACTATTTTTAATCTAGGTAGAGTTGCTTAAGCTTCTGCATTTCTAAGGGGAAAGAAAGTTGGCATGGGAAAAGTTTGTTTCAATTGAAAACTTAGATTCCCAAATTATACAATGGCTATATTACTCAATTAAACAAGATGAGTGCTGAAATAAATTTTCCTAAACTGAATGTGCTTGGAGGAGGAGGAATTAAAAGTGATATGTGATGTATATTTTATAACACACGACCAACAGAAAAGACAGAGGCTACACACACTGTAACAATAATAATGTAAAGTGTTACCTTTATATTGCATCTCATATCTCAGGGTCATATCTTGTATAACTTTACATATGCAGACAATTACCTCCACTGAATATATGAGAATTCTGAGACAAAAAGGAAAAAAAAAAAAAAACCCCACAAAAACCTTCCAAATACTAGAGAATGGGCTAGAAATTTAAAAATGCAATATTTCTGGCTTAAAACTCTATTGAGAGGAAAATGAGATGTCAAAACTGAACTTAAGAAATTATAAGGTTAAGCTAAAAAGGGAGGAAAGTACACTAAAATAATTAAAAAAGTAAAAACTGGCCAAGGCTAAGCTGTACATGTACATACACATACATAAACACATCTTATATCTTACCTTTAACCCTGCCAAAACAAAGAGGTAAAACCTTGTTCCGTGTGTTGAAGAGGCTTACAGTGTAGTCTGAGGACCCGATGTACACACGGGGCAGGTGCCAAGTACCCAAGTGGAAGTAAAAAAAGGACGTGCTACCTCAGTTTCTTCTGCCTCCTCTTTCCACCTCTGTCCACTTCTCAGTGACACGCAGCCTGGCTAACTTCCCCTACTTGTCCTAGAACAAATCTCTGTATATTCCTTCATGCCTGGAATGATCTTCCCTGGGCATTTTGTGACTTGACTGGATCCTCTCATCCTTCATGAACCAGCTTAAATGTTACCTCCTCAGATTTGCCTGTTATTTTCTATTTTAGCATTTAATTTGTTTAATTTTCTTTAGTACTTATTGCAATATGTAATTGGTTTGATTGCTTGTTATTATAGTCTATCTTCCTCAGTGACAGAGCTGCTCAATAGAATACTGCTAAAGAGAAAAAAACAAAACCAAAAAGGAATGTTAAGTCAGTGTCAAAACTGTGACTTCAAATAAATAATTTTCAAAGTCCTATTTTAATGTGCCACCTCCCCTTTAAAGTGATACTTGTATATTTGCAAATACAGCGTGGAGCGGCATGAAAAGGTACCATATAAAATTTATTATACAATGTCTGTAACTTTAGACATGTCAGGGAAGATTGGCCAAACTTCTCTAACTGTGTGGTTTGTAAGTTATCACCAATATTCCACATAGTTGTTGCCTGAGAAATGAATTCTCATAAATTAGGAGGTACTTTAAGTAATGTGACCTTCGAGTACTTCAAAAAGATGAGAACATTCGCTGGAATAACAATTGGCTTTTGGTTGTGGAAAAATGTAAATGTAAACTCCCTTTCTTCCTTAGGAAAACGATCCTGTCGAGGCATTAGAAGGAGACCATCCTCTCTGATGGTGGTCAGAGGCACCCCTAGCACGCACTTCACGGTTGAAAGCCCTCAGTCAAGTGCTCTGCACCTGCAATACCTCTCTCAGCTTTTCTAAAAAATGACATGAACCTCTGTGTCTCCACGGGGCATTTGGAGATTCTTAGAGACAATGAGGGGGGAATGGGAATCATTACAGTTAATGTGGACTTTAAAAAAAAAAAAACTATTCTGATACAAATAAGTGGTCCTTCTGAGGAAAGGCAGGTCTAAAATGAAAGTGGAATCTGCCTTTCAATTTTTAAAATAAACACTTTAGAGGAAAAAATTGCTCTCTCCCAAAAAGAGTGCTACTTTGTTTTAACCTTCCAGAAACAAAGAAACACAGAAGCAGGCAAATAAGACTGAACAGACTACTAAGTTCCAGCCCAGGATTTGTCCATGGGAACAGAGCTAAGTCCCGGCCTGGGATGGCCCAATTTATTGACTGTAGGGAAGCAGACATGGCTAATGCTGTTTATTCACTAGTGCCCTGGGTGGCTTTCGAGGGGGCCCTGAAAGAAACTAGTACACAAAGTAAATAAGTAAAACTTGAGTGATTACTATCCTGGGAAAAGCAGAATCTCAGGCTTATTTAAAGGGTCTCACCACCCATTCTTCAGAAAAACCGAGATCCAAAGAAATTATATGTGTATTTCAAGGAGTTAATGAAAAACCTACTATCAGATCCCAAGACTATGAATTCCAGTCTCCCTTCTGGAAACAGAAGAGAAAATGCTAGTTTGGAAGCTTTTGAAAAATATAAAAATATAATTTTAAAAAACCCATTCACTTCATGGCCTCTAGGAAAGGAAAGAACTTGAGTCTCTTTCTAAGACAGCAAGGATCTCTTTTTAAGACAGTAAGCATCATTTTTGAGGCAGTGAGAGGCTGTGTCATCCATGGATCATGAAGGCAAGGAGAAGAGGACACCGAAGAGACAAACGATCTACCCTGGCCAAGAGAGAAGAGCCAGCAAAGGGGCACTGGTGAAAACCAGCTCAGGGGTTAACAAGCAGCGCTTAGATAACTCCTCAAACTGAATGGGTAGGTGCGCACACAGAAGGACTAACTTATGAAGATCAGTTTTTTTCTTCTGAAAAGAAAATATTTTCTCTACTGACCCAGAATTGCAAAGTGTCCTATTCAAATTAGAAAAAAAAGCATTCAAAAAATAATATGAGATTATGAATTTTTAAACAGTGATAGTAAAATAAAAGTTAGTCTAAAGGCTGATGAGCTATTACAAATAATATTAGTATTACTACTACTTACAATGGATGCGGTTAGCACTTATTGTGCATTTACTATTTGTCAGATACTATTCTATCCATCTTACTTATTTAATGCTCGAAGCAATCCCATAAGGTATTATTATCTCCATTTTACAGATGAAAAAATGATGAAGAAAACGAGGCACAGGGAGGTTAAGTAACTTGTCAGGATCAGACAGCTAGTAAGTAATAGGACAAAAATTCATATGCAAGCCATGTGACTCCAGAGTGCACCCTCCTTTCAACTTGTTAAACTCTCTACAATTACACTTGAATGGGAATATGATACTTTATATACACTGCACAGTCTTTTGGTTTTCAAAGTGTGACAGGATCCTCATAGTTACTCTGTCTGGTAGGCAGGGCCACTATATTTATAGGAGGAAAGAGAGTCACAGAGGTCATGTACTCATTCAGGACACAGAGTTAATAAGAGAACTCAGGTGTTCTGATTCCTCATCTTGTGCCTTTTTTTTTTTTTAAACCACTAGATAATTCAGACTGCTTAAAAGTACCTTCTATTAGTCATCTCTTGTCTTTGTAGTACAGCTTTTAAGATGTCTCTCTTTGCTTGATTGTTTTCTTTATCCACGTAGATCACTATACCAAAAGAAAAAAAATCCACAAAAGGAAGTCACTCAGGAATATGCCACATTAGTACTATTCCATATTTTTTATGAATACCTGTTTTTAAAGATGCAAGTCATGCCACCTCACTTGTATGCCTGGGAAAAGAAAACAGCTCCAGAAACCAGAATCAAATCTGAATAGTCATGTGATCTAATGTCATGTCACTGGCAGGTTTATGTGCACACTGTCAGAAAAGATACAAGCAACATCTAAGAGTGCCACATCACTGTCACTGCCTGTTAATGGCACTGGCAGTCATGACAGTAAAAGCCAGCAGTCTTTATTGCTTTGTGTTTGAGGGATTTACTGCATTTTCTTTCACCCAAGAAGCGAGTGATAATGATAATGTATGGCAGAGAGCTTGTCCTCCCTGACAGCCTCAGTAATTTAATCCTTCTCTCCTGCCATAACATGCAATAAAAGAGGCATCTAGTGTATTGGGTTGAGGAAATCCACAGGCTGACGTCTGCTAGTGTACTGGTGGGGGGTATGAGGGAGAAAGGTGGAGGAAGGGAGAGAGAGGCTTTTTAGGATGTGAAGTTTGTCTTTGGTTTTTAAAGGTACATGTTGGCATACAAGAATGTGGCCAGACTTCACTTAGCTGAAATACAAGATTAGATAACTGATCTAACATCCCACCAGGAAGAAGATGGTAAACATTTGACATTATAAGTAAGTGTCTACACTTTCGGAAAATGGCATCTCAGAGTACAAACACGCCAATTTTCATCCTGATTATTTTTTCTCAGCTCGGCAGACTTTCAGCCATGCCTTGGCTTAGATGCCATTTTGGACATAAAGGCTCCCCTGTGCCCAGATCTCAATTTAGAGATTGTCCCTCATCACAGGTGTACAAAATGTGAAAGATACCATGACAGTTCTAAAGCCAGTTCTCCTCAAACATATTTGAACATATTTTCATATTTCATATTGAAAACGTTTCCCTGGACAATTTTATTAGTTCAATCCCAATTATAAAGCTATCAACTCATTTAATTGTTTGGCTTAGTTGAGCAAATATTAACTGAGGGCCAAAGATGTGCCCAGCACCGAGTTAGGCACATGGAGTGGGAGACATAAAGGTGTCTGTATAGGGGTGGATTAATAGCTTAACAGAAGTAAGAATCATTGACAACAAAATAACCAATTTAATAACCAACTCTGGACAGCCAAGGTCAACAGTAACTCTTAGCTTACTGCTCTTTGCATGCTACCATGTTAGTAAATGTGACTAATTATATAGATTACTGAGATTTATAGAAATCAATAAAGACAAAGCATTCAGAGTATTTTGTTCTGCTTATCAGTGCCCAAACATCATTATAATAGGTGAGTTCCACTAATGCTGGGAGATAGTACCTCATTTTTTGGAGGGTGCCAATATACCAGGCCAAATGGGAACTTTTAACTTCAAGTGGGATTTCTTTGTTTTTGCTGTTATTCACCAACACAAGACGTGATATACCATATTCTTTTTGATCTCATGGTTCTAAAGTTTATATGCCACAGTGGTTTATATTGTTTGAAGTCAAAGGTAATTTCAGTGATTAAAAAAAAAAAAGAGACTGAATTTCAAAGTGCAGCATCCAAATAAAGGGTCTTTCAATTAAACCTAGACAAGTTTTGATGAATTTCAATGGCTTTAAAAATTTTTTTATTGTGATAAAATATACATAAAATTTACCATTTTAACTATATAGTTCAGTGGTGTTAAGAACATTCACACTGTCGTACTATCACCACTATCCATCTCCAGAATTTTCAAAATCCCAAACTGGAACTCTGTACCAACTAAACAATAACTCTCCATTCCTTCCTCCTCCCAGCCCCTGGTAAGCACCATTCTATTCTCTGTCTCTATGAATTTGCCTCATATATATGGAATCATACATGGATTTGTCCTTTTGTGTCTGGCTTATTTCACTTAGCATGTTTTCAAGATTCATCCATGTTGTAACATATACCAAAATTTCATTCCTTTTTAAGGCTAAATAATATTCCACACACACACACCAATTTTTTTTTTTTTAATATATTCATCCTGTGATGGACATTTGGGTCCAACTTCTGGTTTAACAAAGGTAAAAATAATAATAGCTGTCACTAATTGAATGATGTATGTACTAAGTACTATATTCAATACTTTTAATACTTTTCTTATTGCAGTCACATGGGTTAAGAAACATACTGATCCATTATAACCATTTTATAGATGATTAAGCAGAGCCAGAGAAAGTCAGTGATTTGTTCAAGACCACCTGGTTAGAAAGCAGCAGAGCCAGAATTAGAATCCAGCGATGTCTGCCTCCAGAGCCTGCCCTCTTAACCTTCATGCTATAACTTCTTCTTCCATATGAAGCTAAAACTTGTCCCGTTATTTAAGGCAGTCATTTTGTTAGCACAAGGCTGGAGTGTGAGAGTTCTTTAACTGTATCAAGGGAAGCCACCTCATTTTCCTTTTACTCCTTCGAAAAGAGATGTTACTTAGATACACCTTGTCTAGGTTAATTAAATCAAATCTCTTGGATGAAAACTTTTAAATATTCCTTTTTGAAAAAACTCCAGCTCCTTACCAATAAGCTTAGTTCTCCAAGGGTGTCTTAATCTAGCCCAATGGTACTCAGTCTTTAATATGCATCAGAATCCCTTGGAGTTTCTGATTCAGTAAGTCTGGGGGAGGGCCTCAGAATGTGCGATTCTAACATGTTCCCAGCTGCCGCTGTTGCTGTTGCTGCTGCTACTGCTGCCGGTCAGGGCACCACACACTGAGAAGCATTGTTTAGCTCAACATTTCTTAGCCCATTTTTTAAATGGGATCAAGAACCAGCGAACACTTTTGTGTTGAACACTGTAGGGAATAGGCATACTTTGGCTACCTCTGATTAGGTCATGATCCTATGATCCTATGAATACCACGATTCCTTTGGTATTCTGAAACTCTAGATGGTTAAAAAAATTTACAATTTCAAAACTTCAAATACATCCTTTAAAATGTGATTCTGGTGATTATTAAAAGTTAATCTATCTAACTTTCATTCACATCAGAAATCATGGTTGTTTAGGATGTGCCAGATTTTGATATAAACCTACTGAAATCATATGTCTCAAAAAGAATACAAATCAGCAGTCCAAATAATTGATTTGATTTTCATATGTCTACCATTCAAAACATATCCCTCATTTCTGCAGGTTGAAGAAATCCTTCTATTCTCTATCAATGTCAGATGGCAGAAGTAAGAAATGCAGATGGTTTAATTATAAAGGGTTGATAACCTTGAATCTCAGATAACTTTTGTATTAAAGTGTTATTATCCTGTAATCCTTATCTTTGCCAAATTTCTCCTCCTATTAGTAACAAAATCTGATGTTTTACATCCTCTTCATCTTCTGAATTTAACTTTAATTGTTCCAAAAGATAGATTGTTCAGTCCTCAGAGACTATGGGCCCAGATCTGTATAAGCCTCATAAAAACTTTGGATGATTTCATTAATCTTTTTTCTTCCCACTGTCAATTCCCTAGAAGGATTTATTCGGCCCAGACAACATTCTTCAGACCTACCATTAATCTTATTTTTCCCCAAACTATTTTCTTGCTTTCTCAGCATTCTCCAAGCAAAATTTTCAAGTCCAATAAAATAACAAATGTTTTGTTCTTGATACCAATGTCTAGCAAGTGAATTCAACTTTAGTTTTCAACTGACAGTAGCCCTAAGAAGATACATTTTTGTGCGTTTAAGTGAAACTGGTATCAACACCTCTTAATAAACACTGAATTCGATTATGAATAATCCTAGGGATTACTAGTCTACACGTCTCATTTTATGTACCTAATTTAGGCCTCAGGACACAAATCCCTTTTGTATAGATTCAAGTTGCAATGCAGGGTAAAATCATTCCTAGGTTAAGCTAACCTCTCTATTTTTATGTTGTTCAAAACAGGAGATAGCATGTACTAATTGTCCTCTAAATTTTCCATTTGAATTAAAAAAGTCAGTTTGGAAATAACATTACTTTCATTAGCATTTAATGAGATTTGAAGGATGTAAGGCTCCATTATATTGACCTTCTATATCAAGTAACAAGAATGGTAAATCATTACATAGATTAAATGAGACAGCTGCTTATTAACCAAAGATATAAGGAGATCCCCCTTGCAATGAAGATGCAAATATAATAATTAAAAAATAAATATTTTCATTGTGCCATACTTAAATGAAAACTAAAATAAAACCTTTAACAAGGTTAATATTTCACACATTTGCTGGTGACTTAGGACTTCATTTTTTCAGAGTAATAGATAAAAACAGCATTAGTTTGCTTTTAAGCGGAGAGTACATTCCTCTTCCCTCTCCCCGGATAAATCTTCTTAAAATTCTTTTCAATTAATTTTGAAAATTCTATATAGTCAAATCTCATTACGTAGGAATAGAAGCTTAAGAAAGATATAGTAAAAACTTCTACTGAATTAATAATTCATTGGTTTTCTTGCTGCTATCAAATGGCTAATTCATTAGAAACATAAGCAACTCTTAATATACCAATTAGATAGCATGGTACCTTGCAGTAAAGGGGGAAAACAAGCAAGCAAACAAACCAAAAACAACCAGCCAACAAAAAACCCCAAACAGACCTAGGTAAACATGTGAGCATGTACAAAATTTAGGATACTTGAGCATGAATCATAGGTTTGATCCAAGGAAGGATTTGCTCCGCAGGTAAATGTAAACATCTGTTCTATTACATGGCCAAGTTTCTCAATGCACAATCAACTTCTAAAAACAATTTTGTTGCTAACCTTTACAAAGAATAATACAAAAGCCAACGGAGTTTGTCTCTTTTCTTGGGGTATCTTCATTAAAATTAATTGACTGAACAGTTCTCTCATCACTAATAATATTTTGATATGGTTTACTTTCCTGGTACTTTGCAATTAAGGAATCTAGGAAGCCTAAGAAAATATTTTTGGAAGTACATCTTTTATATTAAGTGAATGAAGGAAAGAAGAAATCAGATTCTTATCCTGACCATACTACTTACTTCCCATGTGATTTCTTAACCCACCTGTTATTATAGAATTATAGAAGGAATCTCAGAAAACATCTTATTTTTTTGATAAGAAAATAAGGAATCATGAAATTTAAACAGTTTGCCTAAGTTCACATAATTTAGTAAGAACTGTGAATACAGGGAGGACTAGACTAGATCTCTGGATACTCAAGATTACTGTTTCAAGCAATAAACACATTTCTAAAAATGCCAGTTGCAAAAAAAAAGTAACCATCAGCATTTGTAATCTTGCTGGTACAATAGCATGATTATGTATTTTGATTAAAATGTAATTTCTAAGATTGGTGAGAAAAAATATTAGTGTTCAACTAGCACAGATGGCCTATTTTGCTAAAAATAATGCAACCCTCTTATCTTTATGGTTCATTTTAATGTTAGGCTCTAGGAAAATTTACTTAGCAGTTTTAACTTAGGGTCGTGGCGGCTTGATATAATTTTTTATTTCTCTCTAATTATGCCCTGATGATCACACAGTATTCTTAAAAACTCTTTAAAGTTGATTGATCTAAGAATTTATAGGGTGCCTACTGGATCTGTACTGGTCCAGTAAACTTACACGTCCAACTGGCTGACAGATCAAGCCTGAAGAGAGAAAACCTGCCTACTGTTATAAATGGATGTGCAGACTAAATGATGAAAAGGCATTGTAAGAACTTTTGTTTCACACAATTAAAATCCTGAATAGATATCTAGATACTGGAAGAGATATATAAACATCTTTGTGATTACACTGATCAGAAAGGTAGAGGAATAGTAGGCCATTGAGTGGTTTGAATCATATAATTTAAAAAGTGGTACTTTTTTTCCTTTGAAATATCATGTTTTCCAATTAAATTCAATTCTAGACCTAGGTGGCATTTTTTATTAATACTATTATATAGCAGGAACATCTATAAATATTGTTTTCCCACTGTTTTTGTTTTCTTTTAACTTTATTATTAATTCAACTTTATGTTCTTAATCCTTATGCTACAGGTTTGATTTTTGTTAATCTGTTCTGACAAGACTTCCATGAGTTTATGCGAACATTAGAGAATTAAACTTTCTCCTTGTTCCTTCAACTTCCTTCACAGATAAAAAAGACAAACAAAAAAGTCTATATTACGAATACATCATACGTACCATTGCTATAGTTATAGTAGACCCACTGCCCACTCTTGGGTTTTGGAAGTGATACAGGTGTCTCTTCGGCAGGAAGATTATAGAATCGGCACTCAACAAACAACCGTTGGATAGTGTCATCCGTGGTTACTTGAGAATCATTAAGGCTTAGAGCTATGATCTCAATCCGAATTTTTTCTGATGGCTGTTTAAAGAGCAAAAACAAACAAAAAAAACAACAAAGAAAGAAAACATAAAAAAAATCCTTTACTCTTTTCCACAATCAATTTTAAATAAAACACAAAGGCCAATGGGTTTCTTTTCTGGAACGCAATGTACACTACTACATGCTACACATGATAGATTATTCATGACAGAGAGAGAGGGAGAATGAGATTCTAATGCCCCAGGGTTTGAAGTTAACAGTGTCATGGCAATAGTCTCCTGATTTACATTGGAGGCTATAACTACTCCACTAGTAGTCTATCAGCAGTGAAGATTATGAGATCTTCATCTCCGATTGCTTTCAGAATGACAAGTATCAGTTGGCCTTGTTTCAAACTATGTAATGAAGTACATGTTTATCACTGCTTTTATTTAACCTACAATACCTGAGAAAGTTTCAATTATTCAGAGATCAAAGCCTGTTGAATACTTTATAGCTAGAATGCTAGTATACGTAGCTATATGAATCTATATTAACTAGAGCAGAAACTACAGTTCATTCCCATATATTCTGCCATAATATATTTCACTCCTTAAGTAATACATTTTCAAACAGAAGAAAAAATTTTGTGTCTAATTTAACACATACATTTTCTTGAAATTTATTTTTTATTTCATTTTTACAGAATTAACAACTAAAATATTTGTTTAATTTTCACTTTAATCCTGTTTAACAGATTTTGGTGTCACAGACATTATCATGAGAGTCACAAATGTTTCCTTGACTAATGATTTAAAATAATTAATAGGCTATGATTTAAGAATTAGATCACATCAAGATAATGCCTCAGTTAAATTTGTTTTTTACTATTTAAAATTTGTTCTTTATTATAAAAATCCCTCTCTACTAAATTCAGAAACATGCTACTGTAAGTTATGTTACTTCAAATAATAATTAGAGACACCTGAAAATAAGATCTGTTTATATAACCAGCTTTTAGGAATTCATTGTTAAATGTAAATCAATGTGCAAATTCACCATAGTGATTACTTAGATATTCCAAAGCATATGATATAATTAATCAAATTGTAAAGCATAAGTATCCTATTGTAAAAATATCCCCATAAAGAACAATTTCCATTGCTGTCAAACCCCCTCAATATTTGATGAAGTAATTTTATTACCCCCTTCTTTTAAAAGACATTTTCTTTTATTATGTATTCTAAGACACTTTAACTAAAAACCCAAATCTGAATATTTCAATAAGGTTAGTTTATTATTCAGTAGACTCATGGAAATTTTACTAGGATGACAGAGAAAATTCCACACCATTCTGTCTCCACTAATACAGGTACAAGGCTGCAGCTGGCAATATTACTAGGATTAGCATAGTATGATGAAATATTTAAAGGAAAATTTTTTCTCAAACCTAATAAATCAAATGACTGCCAAATGTCATTAAAGTGATGGTCTTTGACTTGAATATGCTTTTCATATTCAAATTTGAAAAGAAAGAGATGAAAGCCTGGAAAGGTTACTCGGTTTCAACTAATAACCTCAAGCCCTCTCCATTCACGTGCATAAAAAATGAAGTTGGCTCTATTGTCTAATCTCACTTCAGAAAAGCCCTTCTCTGCTTGCTGAAGACTACATGGTAAAGAAAATATTTTAAATAATATTTTTTCCTTAAAATGTACTGTGGTTGTGGAAATATTGCACACATATATATTTTATAATTCTGGCCCAAATGTAGCACAATGCATAATTAAGTCTTTTACATAACTTGGAATGTGACAAACTTAGAATTGTTATAACAATAACATCTTATAAAACATTCATGCTTTGCACAATAGAATTAAAGGAAATAGTTATAAAAAGGAAAAAGAAATACACACTTACAGGAATTTAAAACTGTTTATCACAGAACATAATAAAAAACTTTTAAATGGCAAGGGAATAAAATTTATTTAAGTGGTTATTTTATTAATAATATACTAACTATACAATCCCCACATGAAAACCTGCATTATCGTAACAACCAATTTAGGCTGTCAAATAAGACTGCACACAACTCTTTAAAGTTTAAAATATAAATCTAGATAAAAGTAGATACTTGGATCTGAGCCAAAAAACAAACACACAAATAACAAAAACACCCAAAATGTCAACAACAAAATAAAACTCACTGTATTATCCAAAGTAATAAAAGAACTTTAAAGTTCTTTTTATGGTGGCTATCTTCTTTCTAGTCATTTTTTTCTTTTGGGGGGATTCCCCCTACCCCCAATACTTCTATCATATGTCCTTTTTAATTCTCTGACCAGTATTACTGGCAGAAGTATCAGTTATCATTTCTTCATTCATTTGATGCTACATGAATCAACTTAAAATAAGTCCATAAAGGGATAAGTTTCAAATAGTGTATATTTAGAGAAGCAGGCTCTGAATAAGAATTTTCTAAACGTTATAAATCTTGGCTAACGGTGCAATATTGTTTTTCATACTGTAATCGTTCTGGTTGTGCTCAAGCCCCCATGAATCAAAAGTTAAACTAGACTGTGCATGAAGATTTGAAGGTTCAGAAGCACAACTGCATAGTAGACAACTCCAATTCAACATGTCAGGAATGAACTCATTATCTCTCCTCTGCCCCCATGACACTCGTCCTCTGATATTTCCCCGCAGCTGATGACATCACCGTCCACCTCATCATCGGCAGCCATTCTTGCCATTTCCATATTTTTCACACTCACTATATCCTATAGGTCACCCTCCCTGTTCTTTTTTTTCTAAATATCTCAATGATTTACTGAGTTACTGAAAGCATATGATATTTCAGACATTGTATCAGCTACTGAGGATATCAAGAAAAACAAGATATGGTTGCATTTCTCATTTTTTTTTTATCTCTAGCTAAACTTCTTTAGGTTTTCAGGGGTTAACTAATACGACAGCTTCCTCCTTATTAGAAAGCAGAAATTTGATAGAATAATGGGGGAGAAAATAGAAGGGATTAGTATAAAAGATAACCTGTTGGCAGAACTGGAAGCAGACTGATGGGACGACAAGCTCCGTGACGGGAGGATGATCACGTTGTTTACTGTACACTGGAGTGGCATGCAGTTACACACTCAATGGGTGAGTGAACCTACACTCAAGACTGCGAGAAAGGTGAGCCACTCCTACCTCCACTTCCTTACCTGCAGCCCCAACCATTTTCCTTATTATGGCAGAATTCTCTCCCTAAAAACCAATCAGGCATCACCTTCCTGCCTGCATATCTTTCTGTTACCTCACACTAGCCATTCCCTCCACCGCCGTGTGCTGTTTATATTGCTCAGTTTTTGCATGTGTTGTTTGTTCTGTCTGAAATCGTCGTCTTTTCCATCGGATGAAATTCCACTCATATGAGGCCCTGAACCACATACGCTGTCCTTTATGAGAACATTACTAATCTCGAAGAGTGAGTTGGTTGTCTCCTCTGGGCCCTCACCGCACTTCTCAGTCACACTGTACTCACGCATGGATTTGTTTACATATCTGCCTCTCTCTACAGACTGAGCTCCTGGAGGGCAGGACCACATCCTATTCATCTTCTGCTATTTAACATTCTCCTTAGCATCTGGCACATAGTATGCTCTCAGTAAAAACGTGATGAACTAGATGAGGCTGAATACCTTCTACATATTCAGAACATCTTTTATATATTGACAGAACTACATGAAGCTGCAGTTATTAGTGCTTTCTCATTTACAAAATATTATGTGTCTATTACGTTTTGAGAAGTGGGTGATTATTAACTGTTGAAAAATATATAGAAATCTTGCTGTTCTAGATTTTAATCAAGAATATCTCAGAGACAGTATTGTTGAATCTAGATGGTAGGGGTACTGTTCAACTTTTCTATATGCTTGAAATTTTTCATAATTAAAAAATAGAAAAAAGACACTTCGATTAGGAGAATTGAAAAGGGTAATAGATAAATACTGATTCAAATGACAGTGACTGAAGCAAAGCCTTTTCAGATAGATGCATAATGACGTCTGTTCAGAATTACTAGAGCAACATGACAGGTAATATGTCTTCAGGGTATTAGAATCCTTCAGATACAGCAAGGTGACTAGGCAGTGTAGGCTTTGGGTGTTTCTTGTTTTGTTTACTCTCTATGTCTGTGAACCTTTGTACTAGGTAAGATGCCTCTTCTCTGTACTCTTTTTGTCTTGTTCACCAACTGCCCTTACGTGAGATTCCAACATCGGCATGTAAAAAGTGCATTTATAAATTTTGATTGTGGTGAACAGAAGTAATGGAAGTCACTCAAACAAGTACTGCATGCAACTTATTTTTAGTTGCCTGTACAGATGGACACTACACATTATGTGATGGAATGATCTAGAAATGTGATGACAACTGGTATTACTCTCAGAGAAAAAGAAATTATAGCTCTCATGATTTTGGCTCAATTCCACCATTGCTTCCTGACTGATGCTAATTCACATTTTAGGTCATATTTTTCTGTAGTGTTTACTTAGGCTTATTATTGGCATATTTAAAATTTTCATGTTTTACTTCAGAGGATCGTGCTGAATTCTTCCTCTGGTTTCAGCCATCACAGCAGGCACACTGGAGTTGGACTGTTAGGCTTCTAAAAACTAATTCAACCTGACAACCCTTAAATACAGTACTGCATAACTGAGAATGGCCTATGATAAAGGTTTTACAACTTGTTTCTGTCAGTTCAATTAAATCTAAATATGGCAAGATTACAGGTGAGTTTAATTTCAGTCTAAATTTCTACAGTGAATAGGCATTTCTTTAATTTTTTATTATAAAACATTTCAAACATGACAAAAGTGCAGAAAATAATTTGCCATATTCAGGTACTCACTATTTTAAACAGATGTTATCATTTTGCTGTATCTAATTCAAACCTTTTTGTTGTTATTGAAGAAATAAAATATTTCAGACACAGGCAAAGCCCCATATTGCCAAATCCTCTCCCCTCCTTCCCTAGAGGTAACCACTATCATGAAGTTGGT